ACACACACACACACACACACACACACACACACACACACATAATTTTAATTGATATTAATTTTATTTATGTAAAAATAATGTCTATGTACATATGTTCAGTAATAACGCCGAGTACAACAGGAATTATTATTATGGTTTTATTATCGTAACAGACAAAGATTTCAACAAAGCGTAGCCTAATCTTATTTTTTATCTGTTTTTTTAAAATAGTGAATTAATCTGTAAAAAAATATCTATCTGTAATAGAACTATTAAAATAACTATTAAATGGATTTAAAAGTGATTTAAGACAACATTGAAAACCTTCAGAGAAATTGTTTTGCAAAAGACAAAGAAAAGGATTAATGCAATAAAACATTAGAAATAAGAGCTGCAGTATGTAAAAATAGAGTTGAACTAAAATACAGATGATTTCAACAAATATGAATTGAACCACAGACCTAATAAAGGCATATGAAAGGGCAGCCCAGCGTGCTGAAGGACCTCAGGACGCCGCTGGTGCGCATGCGCAAACTTGCACGCACAGTTCAAAACAATCGTAGCTTGAGTCTGTGATATTTGTAATTATACATTATAAACATCAAACTAACGCTCGTATTTGAACTCGACACGCATCAAGCGTCAGACTTTATCTCTCCGGAAGCGGAAATATAAAGCAGGTGAGGGTTTGCTTCTGTTAAAGCTCTGTTTTTAAACGCTGAAAAGACACATACGACCAATAAACTGAATTCATTTCGATTACGTTACGTATTTTCTCTGGTTATCCTCCTTTATATCAGTTTCTACTTGTTTACAGCAGCTTATCTATTTATTTGGACATGTTGGGGTTATATTTAGATAGATGTTAATCTTTCTTTTCTTCACATCTATCTTAAATAATCATATAAATATTAGTTTTGACTATTTGACTAATGTTTGGTTTAGTTATAATAACCATAATCATCATAATTAATAAATAACATTAGCTATTATCCTAAATGTAGAGTGTTTACAGTTACTTTAATGCGTAATCTATATGCTGTTATAGTATTTATTTATATTTTAAATTAGGTCTTATTTCTATGTTTTTATTTTTTTATGTCATGTCAGAATTGGTCATATTAATTTTTTCATTTTTGTATTATTTTATTTCAATTTAGTTTTAATAATTTTTAGCACATTTTATTTTAGTCAGCTGCCAAGACAACATTTCTAATTTCTAAGTTTTTTAAGTATTCATTTTTCATCTAATGTTTGCATTTTATTTCATTTTAATCAAGTAAAGCTCTTTTTAAAGGGGTCATATGATGCTTTTTTAAAGATCATTATTTTGTGTATTTGGTGTAACAGAATATGTTGACATGCTTTAATGTTCAAAAAACACATTATTTTTCAAATACTGTACATTATTGTAGGTCCTCTATGCCCCGCCTCTCTCAAACACTTCGTTTTCTACAAAGTCCCTCCTTCCGACAAGCGCAGTCTGCTCTGATTGGCCAGCTGACCCAGTGCATTGTGATTGGCCGAACACCCGCAAGCACTCGTCGGAAATGTAACGAGTGTTACATGTAAAATAAATGTAAAGACAGAGCCCCGAAAGGTGAATAGAGTCGCGTGACAGACACAGTGATGAATCTGGTATGTGTGCAGAACACAAGCCACGGTTAAGACGGTTGTGACCCTGTCTCTCTCTCTCCGGCATTATGCAAATATTTCCACATCGTGACATAGATATGTGGGGGTGTGTTTAAACGAGGCGTTTTAGGGGGGCGTGACAGAGTCTTAACTTTGATAAAGAATATCTCTTTAGTTTTGAGACTTTAGTCTTTGCAACTTCAGGGATCTTATCTATGCACAATCAGCTTGTAACACAAAACTGGAAATCGCATCATATGACCCCTTTAATACATAATCCACTCAGACTCATCCACTCAGACTTTAAAGGACAATGATTTGTTCTATGGTGAGCTGTTTTCTCCATGATGTGCAGGCTGAATGTGGGATGGACATGTACTCCGGTGTGAGAGACAATCCGTCTGATGCTGCCAGACAACAGGAGAGACACTATTACCTGCTGTCAGAGCTGCAGACGCTCGTGAAGGACCTGCCCAGGTGAACACATCACACCACAGATCACTGATGCACGAGAATACCTCATGAAGCAGTGCTTACTGCCAAAGAAATGTTAGTGAAGCACGCTCAAAAAAATTGAAACTGCAAAGTTAAAAGTTAAAAGCTTCGGGTCTTAAAGAGCAGGTCATATGGTATTTTAAAGTGTCCTAATATATTGTTGGAGGCCCCTACAACAGGTTTAAATGCATCTAAGGTAGGGCTGAACAATTTTGGAAAATATTCTAATTGCGATTTATTTTACCAATATTGCGATTGCGATTATTTTTTTAAAGCTCTTTATGTTCTGTATTATTAATTGAAGACAAGCTATAAATCATTGTATAGTATGACCAACACAATATTAGATAGATTAAACATCATATGACCCCTTTAATACATATTCCACTCAGACTCATCCACTCAGACTTTAAAGGGGAATGATTTGTTCTATGGTGAGCTGTTTTCTCCATGATGTGCAGGCTGAATGTGGGATGGACACGTACTCCGGTGTGAGAGATGATCCGTCTGATGCTGCCAGACAACAGGAGAGACACTATTACCTGCTGTCAGAGCTGCAGACGCTCGTGAAGGACCTGCCCAGGTGAACACATCACACCACAGATCACTGATGCACGAGAATACCTCATGAAGCAGTGCTTACTGCTTTAATGTTAGTGAAGCACGCTCAAAAAATAGAAACTGCAAAGTTAAAAGTTACTGCAGGGTTTCTTCGGGTCTTAAAGAGCAGGTCATATGGTATTTTAAAGTGTCTTAATATATTGTTGGAGGCCCCTACAACAGGTTTAAATGCATCTAAGGTAGGGCTGAACGATTTTGGAAAATATTCTAATTGCGATTTATTTTACCAATATTGCGATTGCGATTTAATATGCAATTATTTTTTAAAGCTCTTTATGTTCTGTATTATTCAACAAAGACAAGCTGTAACAAATCACACAAACTAAAGTAGATTTCAGAAATATAAAAACAAATCTGTTGCTTCACACTACTTTAGGTAATTCACAGTCACTGTAATAAACATGTAAACATGTGGACTGCACTAAACACTGTCTGTTAACTTTAGACCAGTGGTTCTAAAATGTTTGTGGTCGCACCCCCCTTTAAACCTATAAAAGAAATCTGCCCCCCTTTCCCGAATCCCCATTCCACCTCAGACTAACAAATAATTTCACTAAACATTATGAAAAATGAATGCCTTTTTAATTAAAAAAAACCTACAGGGAAAAAAAACACCTGCATCACTTGAAACATTGAAAAATAGCATAGAGAGAATAACTGTTACTATTATTATTATTCTCTCTCTGTTATTTATTTATTTTTTGTGGGTTTCATGCTGTCAGCTAAGGCATAGGACACACACAGGCTTTCCTCCTCACCAACGACATTAAACAC